AGGTTTCTCTCAGTTTCTGGGAGTTCAAGTGCAGCTCGATGTCTCGTCTGAAGAAGAGCTCCCCCAGCTGGCCGTGCGAGGCTTCGCTCATGGCCTTGGTCTGCATGCACATCTTGTACTTGTCCGGAGGCAGCTCGTCCGCGCAGCTCTTCTCGTGCCACAGGTGGAAAAGGCCGCGAGACGGAGAGCGGATCACCATCAGCTTGCTGTGGAGGTATTTCCTGTACAGGCGCACGTCCTCCAAGCCCCAGCCCTTAATGCTCCAGTCGAAGCCACCTGACAGGAAGTCACAGCTGCATTAGGTGGACAAACTGACCCTTGACACTCACTGTAGATGAGTCACTGCTTCCCCAGCAACAAACCAACCAGCAGGCTACCTCACAGCTGAAATGATTAGCTGAATAATTGATTAGTTCAGGGACAGAAAATTATCATTTTTTAGTATAAATGCCAACAATTAACTGTCAGCAGCTTCTAAACGTCTTCTTTTTCGGCAGTTTATGTGCTCAGAAGTGAAAATGACATCCCATGTGGGGTTTAGATCATATAAATCTCTATTTTCTTGCATTTTATTCACTAAAATATCAATCAGTTATTTAAAAATATTGATTATTGATCGTGAAATCCTTATTATTGCCTGGGTGTGACACTCAATCTATAAAAGCAGTTTGATCTAAAGAAAAATGATGCAGTGAATGAGGTCAATATGAAAATAATACTGAGGTATAAAGTAGAGTTTGACACAGTGACCTTCTTCAAAATCATGTTGCGACACAGAGGAACTGTAAGAGTTGAATTTACTCAGAATTTAACAGCAGTTTTTCTCGTCCGTTGCCTGACTAGACATCAGTTACAGTTTTTTAAAAAGTCATATAAAGAGAAGCTTGTTTCATTAATTTGATTGTGTTCATGTTTGGAACAGGAGAAACACACAAAGCAGAGAGAGTTCATTAAAATGTGTAAAATATCACTCAGTGAAAGTGTCCTAATGGCTAAAACATTAGTTTTTTACTTTAACACTTAACGTCTNAACTTTGCTATGTGATTTATTCAGGTACATTTGCAATAATCTGGAGTCTTAACTTCAATTTATTTATATATACATAGACTTGACTTGGGTTGAGTTTTGATTATTTACTATTGATGTGACTTCTAGATTTTCTACTTTTCTTTTGCTTTGTCTTTCAAAGCACATTGTTAAGCCTTTTTTTTTTAAAACTACTATACAATAAAATTATAAATAATAATGCTAATTAACCTATTATCAATGATATATATAAAGAAAGAAGCCATTTTACTTTCAATCTAAGGGCATACTAGATGGATACATTAATGATATCTTGCAGGGTTTGGAGGTTTTAGATTTTTTTTTTTTTTTTAATTCTTAAAATGAAAACAAAAACAAAACCCTATGAAAATGATCTTATAATTTATACCTTTTTGTTTTAAAATAAATAAATGACCTGTGACATCATTAGGCCTGGACGTCCGGGGCTGTAGCCTTGAATATTTCATCATTTGATAGTCGTAGATCTAATTCTTTGTTTGTGTGTTTGAGTTTACAAAAGTAAGATCCTTTAAAAGCTAGCCCTGGATGTATAAGTGGTGTCTAGATAATGGAAGGATATACATATATACATATATTGTTTTGTAGGGTGTTTTATGACAGATTATTAGATATATCAGACTGTAGATACTGGTTTTATTTGTCTTTCATTGTGTCACAGTGGGATATCTGCTAACTCCTCTTTTCTCATGAAACTAACTTATGAAATATGACAACAGGTGGCTGAGTAACAATCAAAACACGTTTTATTCAATTCTGTGCTATTTGTCTGTGGATTTGCTGTGATTAGTTTTTCATTTGGGGGTAGTGTGTTATGTCTGTGAAATCCTTTCTCCCATTGGACACCTGTTGAATTTCCGAGGTGCACCTGAAGGCAGCACAGCACAGGGGAAGTGGTAGTAGGAGGTTCGAGCCTATCGCGAGGCTCCACTGACGCTACGACAGCCGTCGGCCGATGCGGAGCTGCTCCTCCTCCCTCCGCTGAGCGCGACCACGAAGGTAAAGAGGCTTCAGCATCACTATTAATAGAAAGAGAAAGTCTGTGATCAGGGCATTGATCAGAGGAGCAGCAGGACTCCATGTGGGCAAGTGGTACATGTGGCAAGTTTCTCATCCAAGGGACTGGTGCTACTTTTAATCTAATAATTAAACATGGAATGTTGTTGTATTATTGTTGTTGTTATTATATGACATTATTGTTGTTGTTAGGGATTATCGTGGAAGAACTATTTTATGCTGGAAGCTGCTATAAAAGTCTTGTATTCAAACTTTTACCTTCAAAAAAATGCAGAGGTACTTTATGTTTTGTTGTTCTGATGCATGTAAGCAGAACTTAAAGGCCCCATCAGTCTGTTTTTATTGTGTTTTGTATGCAACCCCCTGACTCACAGGACAGA